TGCGCGATGGAAAACTAAAAACGGCGAGTAGAGTTGAGTTAAGCCGGTACCATGCAGGAAAGGCCTTATAGACAATCCCAAATATTTTTGGAGTATCACTTACATCTAAATGCAATTCAGATGTACTGCGGGTCAAATGACAGTTTATTCACTTTGTTTCTAGAAAATTTAATTGTTTGAGGATGAACAATATTGGTGGATGGTATTAGCCATCAGACCTCCCTGTCTGTTGCATCTGGACAGCGTGCTCAGGCACTGACTCACACTGCAGCCCAACAGAGGAGTCTCTATAGTGATCGACCTCAAATAAAAAAAAAACTCTGTGGTACTGGAGATGAGGCATGTACAGTATATCACTTTCATCCCCAGATAATGGCGTAATTGTTTCGTTCTTCTTATGATTAGTCTCATCTGTCATGGTCTTCTTTTTTCCCTCTCTTTCCGTGTCGCATGGCACTCAGAGCTAGATATGGGAGGACATTAAACATGCCATTCATGGAGCCACTATGGAAAGATCCACCAATTAGGACGTGGGCGATAATCCTGAAAGGAATGAAGATGGAGGGCAACACAGTGTGCGATATGTGGGTGAGGTTTAAAGTTGATGGTGTTTCGGCTTCTCTGGGCCCCGCAGACCGAGGCCTCCTACTGTCCCCCGAGTGTGCGCCTCCTTTGTGTCTCATCCATACCTAACATCCAGGGTTCGCTGTGGTTCTCCTGAAAACAGAATCACTCCGAAGGAATGTGGTCAATAGCTGGTGTTATTGTGTGGAGCGAAGGCCCCATGTCCTGTGCTGCTTATATATATGTGTGTGTGTGTGTGTGTGTGTGTGTGTGTGTGTGTGTGTGTGTGTGTTTTCCTCACATTCAAACATCTGTGTGAAGATGGATGGTATTGGGACTCATAACCTCTGAAATATTAGCACATGAAAGGTGGACAGACTGCAGGAGGGCTATTTTAACTGCTCATATGGGCCCCTCTATTAGCCTCACACTTATTCTCAAACAGACACACACATGCCGCTGTTATTACACACTGCATGTTGGTCACTTTCAACATCCGTAGCAGTAACAAACTCTTCCGAGACGTTGGGCTGAGTAATTTTGTCATAATTGTGATTAATGTTCTGGTGGGTCACTGGCAGTGTTGAGGTAATTAACAACACTCAGTGGGCCCCCTTTATACAATCAACAAGTCATTTACAAATCATTACGTGGGACTTCTAAGAATATGAGTGTGCACTTGTGGAAATGCGCTATGGGTCATCTGATACCACAACAGCTATGACTCCGCTAATGTTTCCCTTGGGGAGCATGATTTTGGTGCACCCGATGCCCCAGGGCAGTGGCCTGGTCTGGGACGAGGGGGGTAAATAACAACAGAAAGGGGGAGCAGGAAGGGAGCTGTGGTTTAGAGAGCGCGGGAGCTGTAGATACACACTTCCCCCCAGACACACATCAACCTCTCAGAGAATTTAAGAAGAAACTTTCTATGTAGGAATCACAGAGTCAGAATAAAGTTGCTTTATTTTCTGTGCGCTGGAGGGTCAACAACAACGTCTGCTCTGATGAGAAAAGGGAAAGAATCAGTGATTATGAGCATCCTATCTGAAAAAAGAAAAAAGACTGCAGACAGCGTTGTATGCCAGATATGCAACTATATAATGCATTATATATTACATCTGGTATCCCACTTCACCTCGTCAAGTTCATATCTGAAGAGTGTCCGTGTATTGAGGAAAACATTTTTCTCTTCCGCTGTATTATAGAGGTTTGCTGACTGACAGTTAATGGAACGATAAGGAATAATTAAAAGATTACAAAATGCTCAGTGTGTCCATTTACATCAATAATGCATATTATCACATGTCCCATTATCTCAGACTAAGATTTCTATAGGTGTCGAAATCTTTAATCTTAGTTTTGCCACTTCATCTTTATTTATTGCGTATTGAGAAACTGAAGCTGGGTACCAAGGAAATCAAGAACAAACAGCCCTTCAGACCAGGAAAAAATAAAGATTAATTCCACATGACAGCCGAGTGTCTGCCCTGCAGTAGCTGACCCTGTGCTCCGAGCAAATTGTTGAGGGGGTGAAACAGAAGATGTCAAGTTTCCCTTTGGGAGATCAAATGTTTTCACACAAAAACCAGTCCATTTTCTCACACTAATAGGTTTTTTAAAATACCACAGAAACAGAAAGACAGAAGATGTCCAAAAGTTCAGCAGAACAAAAGATATGTCATAAATGTGTTTTTCCTCATGTGTGGACGTACCAGTCACTTTAGGGAAGGAAGTTAGTATTTATCTAAAAGGCGTGCAAACCAGAGAGCATTTTCACGGATTAGAAACAAATATAATCAGACCTTCAGTGGACCACAAAGCTCTGAATAACACCAGATCTGTGTGCAGTCACATCCTCGTCCTGCCAGTTCAAACACTTCACAAGTTTAAGATCACAGCTGCTCGGCAACTGGCCTGTTTTCATTTCGTACTAAGAGATTATTGTCGTGTTACGACACTTTGCTTGTCCACGGTCAAACCTCAATGATGAGTGGGTGCCTGTGTTTTGACCTCGAAGTACTCTCCACTGGCCGATTTCCATGATCCCTTGCCATTTTGGGTGGTGACAAACTATTAGGGCCCTTAAATTTCCAGACTGGCTGTAGGTATGAATGGTCTTGGAGTGGAGTCAGGAAGTGACATCACACATGCATATATATATACATACTCACTGACACACACACACACACACACACACACACACACACACACACACACACACACACACACACACACACACACACACAAATATTAAAACTGACCCTAGGTTAAGTTTACCACCTTGTAGTTTTTATTAAAAACTGGTCTGACCGGGGGAAGCAACGTCATGCGACCTTCTTGAAATGGCTTTCTATGACCCCTGTTACACACATGCACACACACACACACACACACACACACACAAACACACACTAAAATTTTATATTTTAGTGCTTAGCTTTTCATGATGAATAACCACTAAGTGGAATTTGACTGGCTGCACATCTGGGAGCCCTTACAGTTAAAGATGGAGGGAACATGTACTGTAGGTTAAAATGAGTACATTCACTGCACTCGTCCCTCATTTCTGTGTCATTCTCTGCATTTCACATGACAAATCTTCATTCATCTGTCAAGGTGTCAGTTTTTTGTCTGACATTGTGGTCGAACTCTAAACCCCAACAGAGTTTTGAAGGCATTGCAGAATATGAATTTCATATGTCTTCTCCTGTCTTGTACATTCCTCAGCCTTTGAGCAAACCAGTGCAGCGCTGGCTGTATAGAGCTCATACCGAGTTGCTGAGCAGCCTTCTGGTTTCATTATTTCTGAGGAAAAAAAAAATGAAAGAAAGAAAATCTTCACTTTATTTCACAATATTAAAAAAAACAGTCTTGCAACACAGATTTTAATTAACTTTTAAACTGACTTCTTTGTTAGAAAATTACTCTTACTGGGATGTTCTTTACCTCCAAAGTAGCACTGAGTCACAGCTGATTAGGTTTATGTACTTGACTCTGAGGTTTGATGATGAATATGAGAAACACGCTTGGGATGAACAGATCCGAGGTGTGTTTATTTAGGCTTGGTGCCCAGACAGCCTCAAGTACGAACATGGCACTGAGGAATATCAGTCGCATAAATCTGCCAATAATTTGTCTAATCATGTTGTTCTCTTCCACTTGGGTAAACTTGATGTGAAGATGCATTAGTGCTGTAACACATCTCATTTACTTTCCTCAGCCTCTTGTTTAATGAAGACTTTGTTACAGCAACCTCTGTATGTTGACATTAGCTGTTCTGTCTCTCAGACACAACACATTTTATATGAATGACCTATCTTTGTAAGCTTTTCAAACACGTCTTGCTCGTTTTTTTGTTTGTTTTGTTTTGGGTTTTTTTCCATTTGCAGGTAAATGCAATGTGCACATAAAAATATCAAGTTAAACCTTTTATTATTCCTCGGGCTTCATGGAGCCAGTCACACCACCTGTACAGTTTAACTGGTGGGTGTTGGCAGTGATCCGAAGAACACAATGAGTTATGAACTGTTACAACTGCTTTTCATTAGAGAACAAATAATATTTGTATATGTTCCTGTGCAGCCCACACAGATCAGTCAGTAAGAATGCAGTGGCTAACATGCTGATGATAGAAGGCAAAAGAGATGTGAGCTATTTGTCGTATAAAGTTGAATTTAAATATTTTCAGTGAACAAACGTTTTTAAAATGATTTACTCTGAGAAAAAATACTTAACACTGGGAGATATGAAGCTGCTTAATCTTCATATTACTGGAGAGGAAAATACTTGCTGCTACCTGCAGATTCCTGCAGGGATATCCACATTTAACACAGTTAAACACAATCAGGTCATACAGTGATTAAATGTGATTAATTTTGATTCCAAATTGGTGCACCAGAGCTAAATCGATGGCTTTAACTGCCACAAGAGTGCTACTGACTGTGCTTTTATCACGCTTGTACACTGGACTTCAAAGCTGATCAGTAACCATAGCAGAACGGGCCACGGACTGCCAATCACAGCCCTTTATCTCTCCCTGACGTTTCAATCAGTGGGCCACTCTCATCAGATGAACTACTGTGCTCCGCCTTACATAATGCCCTTAGAGGGAAGTTAAAAGTTCATCCCTTTTAGCTCTAATGTTTTCCTAATGGCCGCTTGTTGAGTTAATAGTTAAATAACAGGCAGGATCATTGTCCTTGCCTTTCATTTGCCCTTGTGAGTAAAGCTAAGCACATGTTCTCACATCAAAGCATCAAATTCACCCTCTGACCCACTGGTACAGTAAGATTACACCAGCTGTGCGTTGGCCCTGGAAAAGCCTGCTGCTTTACACTGAATATACAGATGTATAGAGTCACTTAACTGAACTGTGTGCATCAGTGGGGTATAAGTGTGTATATGTATGATTAAAAGAACATAAAACAACGCATATATTAAAAGAGTGACCATAACATTTTGAAGATTTACTTTTTTTTTACTGACCAACTGCATACAAGTTTTACAATAAAACGTTGGCTGGGTGGCTCAATTGTGAGAGTACAGTTCCTTCATTTAAATGCTTGCATATATAAATGCATAAAAGAGTACAAAAATAAAACATTTGCATAATATTAATTTCACATATGACAAGGAGATTTGAATGAATAAATGAATAGATCTCCCAGACTTTGACAGTTAAATGCAGCTACACATTCATTGATCAAAAGGAACAGAATGGAAACAGCGAGATAAACATAAAAAAAAAAATAATGACAAAAGACAGAATTTAATGATCAGACTTAGTAATAGTAAATTTTTGTCGTTAAAACATGAATACATCAGATATAAAGTGCATTGCTATCTGCATGACAGTTGTAGGTAGTCACATCTATATACATCTCTAATGGTACTGCTTTCTCGACTGTGGTGCTCAGTATAACGTAGTGTTTTAACTACAGATATGGTATCTGTTATTCAGATTTCTGTACCCCCTTGTTCGAGATGGACACTCATACTAAAAGGTTATTTCATTCAGAATCCAGATAACATGAGTAAATCTTTTAGTAATTCCACTAACTGCGATTGGTGTGTCATCATTTGTTCTTACTATCTCTCATTAACTGACACAGCTTTATGATTCCAGTAAATATTGCTCAATTAAAAATAGTTGGGATCCAGATGTTCAGCTTTTCTCCAAGAGCGAATGAAGCAGACATGTTGGGTAAAGCAGGATCACATACTCACAGCCACAGAACGGCTCAGGAAATGCTGGAGCTCTTTTGGCATCTTAATTTCCAACACAAAAACATTGTAATTGCTGTTTTTACTAGGATCTTGAATGCATCTTATATTCAGTCTGGGGGTAGCTGGCACCCACTGAAATTCCATGGTGCCAATTAACTTGAAACATGAAATGCATCTTGGCAAACTCTACACATTACTCAGTTTTTAGAAGGGAAGCTATAATGTTATTCATCGGTTTGCACAATTTAAAATCAGAGATAACCAGATCCCATGTTTAGGATTTGTTCAAATAAATCAGTTTTCTACTGGCCCAGCAGACCACAGGAATCTGCTACTTGCAAGTGGGATGTTGACTTGTGTTTGTTGTGGAGAAAACCCACCTACTGACCTACAACTCTCCCTTTAAACTTAGACCCTGAGGTCGATCCTTTTTCCTAAATGACAGAAAGGCCGCAGGGATGAGACAGTCTCTAAAAATAGCTCTTTACTGTTGAAGTCCATTAACAAAAAGTATATACAATATAGTTAGAAAAACATACACTCATAGATATAATTGTACTTTACACTAATAATATCTATGACCTCTATAAGTGGTGAGAGAAGTGGTGGTGGCGGTGAAGACGGTGGCAGGGCTGGTGGCTAGTGTTCACGGTGAAGAGTTGTAGGTTGATTCCATGCAAAAGGCCGCCGCGGCGTGGCAGCCGGGATAAGTGCTGACAAACAACATACCAGGTGATCTCATGATGGTCCAGGTCCTCAGTGATGGCTCAGGAAGATCTCTGCGGGGCGTTTTAGTTGCCCTGCTTGGATTTCTTCATCCTGGAAGAAAAAATAAAATGCGTTACGTTTTGTTATAAGAACAAAATAAGATGTGAAGACAGCAATGTCAAAATCGTATAACATATTTAGCGCTGAAGAGATTATAAGAAATAACATTTGTATCATGTTGGTTTGGACAAATTCTTAACTGTTAACTTGTAAATAGTAAACACCGAATTGAAAATTAATGAGTATTTGTTTAACCATGACTGAATGCCAGGGTTATAAAGACAGTGCCAACATTCAGAATATATTCAGTTCCAGCATTGCAGCTGCTTAAAGTTTACAGGGCCAAAATGTTTTTTGGTTCTTAATTGTAAACTAAACATTTGGCTTTTTAAAGTCGATTTTATTCTGCATTCACTAAACCAGTCCCCCTTTAGTCCGGAGGTTAGTTGGCCATATCTAATTCCTCCAGTTTTAAGTAAATCAACTGCTGTTAGGTTCTGTTTTTCTATCCAGGAAGAGTTTTCAGAAACTTCTGAGTTCATTGCTGGTAAATAAAAAAAAATATTTGTTTTATAAATCAAAGATCTAAATATGTTATTTCACAGAACAGTCATCTGAAGGAGCTGCCGAGTGACGTACATTAACACTAGGGTGTAAACACTGGATCATGGGTGGGCAGTTTGTTGACTTTGGATCACACTCTGTAAATGCTGAGGCACATTTTGACAGATTCAAAAAGGTAATCATGGTTTTGTTTACCAGACTAAAGAGTAGCATTACAATCGTGTGCATTTCTACACATTGTAAATAAGTGTGTCCCTCCTCCCCTTTTACTGTGTGTGTAATTGGAAACACATAAGGAATGATCCATTTTAAATGACCACCATCTACTCTCTACATGGGCTTTTGTTATGCAGAGGAGTGTTGACACCTCGACAAGTCATGGCTCCGCAATCATCCTTGAGACAGACAGTCTGACTGCGGGACTATACGGGTGGATCAGGCTGTGGGTATTGAGTGTGTATGTCAGAAGCTGGAGCACAAAGGATTTATCAACACTCTGAATTCATTTAATTTTCTTCGCACGGAAAAACAGGAACTCCCAAAAAGTCTTTATCTGCCTCCACAACCCAGTGCACAGTTTGTTTCATCCGGCCGCTGAAGGGGGGGCTCAGTCCTTAGAAATATATGACTGCACAGATTCCAGGATGGCAACTTGATCCTTTCTATAAACTTCATGGTGCCAGGGTTTTTTTTTTCAGAAAAGTGTCTCCTTCTTCAGGGCAGGAAGGAGACAGCTGACTTTTAATCTCAGACAGAATGCATGCAGTTGAATTAATGTCACATTACATGACCAGAGGTGAAAGGTAATGCTATTAAGTTGCACTATTTTTCCCAGCATCTAATGTTAAATCTCCAGAGTAAATTTTAATATACTCATAGTCAAAGCTCTACGGTATATATTCCAAGTGTGGCCTAAGTGTATATTTTATAAAACTACATCTGCAGACACAGGCCTCTTGTGTGAACTGTGGTGAACCCTAATGGCATTTCAGTAAGAACAGATTAAATGTGGTTTTAAAGTCACACATCAAACCACTGTATGTGTGTGAAAGAGGAATCAGTTTCTACTCCCACTTGGTCATGTACCAGCATGTTTTGAGTTTGGGCTCTGATATAAGTGGGGCACTTACGAGCTGTCACTCTCACAATGGTCTATTCGTAGATGCCCAAATGCGCATTTGCCTTTTTGCATTCTTGCATTGCTTACTTTAAATTTCTATAGAGTGGAAGTGATTATACCGCGCTCCAGACGAGTTGCCTGTTAAAGGCTGACAAATGACAGGGGACAACAGAAGCATCGTGGCGAACACACACTCCCGAATCAAAATGACTCTGATTCATCTGCACTCACTTGTTGATGGCGTTCTTCAGGTACTGCTGCAGCCACCGGATCTCTGGGTTCAAACACACCTCTTTGTTTGTCTTCAGCTTGGCACTGATCAGAAAAAGGAAAAGAGTTGAGTTCAGAGAACCAGCTCTACTTCAGCTGAAGATGAAAGGGTGAATGACGCGAAGTCAAACATTAGATATCTCGACACCTTGTTATCAAACAGACTGAATTAACACTGACCTGTCAGTTTGACACATACGGAGAGCTTTTTCACAGGGGTGTATAAGTTTGATAATGACCACTGACTCTTCCCCCCCTTTTTGTGAAGCTGCTGCATATATTCATATTGAGTATGTGCATTCATGCAGTTCTCAAAGCTCGCCACTGTGAAAAGTATACCTCATTAATGGGCAGTAAAAAATTTGTTTGAGTAAATGGCAGTTGAAGAGTCAGTCCCTCAACAAATAGCTACAGGCTACTTTCTAAATCCAGCGTAACCCTGTGGTTATTTAAAGAATGGGATCATATGTCTCTATGCAGGAGATCATGCCGCCTTTGGTGCTTGTGTACTGTTTTTGAGTAATTAAAATCAGTTTTACACTCTTCCTGTATGTGTATCTGTAAGACCTCCCAGTTCTATTTCCTACTCCTAACTGTTCCTGAAGCTTTCCTGTCCACTGTAACCAAACCACACACTTTCATCTGCAAATTCACTCCATACAGGCCAAAACTATGAATGGGATCAGGCCGAAAGGTTGTAAGCACAGTATGAGGAGGAAAAGGCTGCGTGACAAGCAAATAAGAAGCAAACCCAATTACAAAACCCACAATTATTGCTTTCCTGTTGAAAACAAAACTGCATCCAATTTCTAGCTCCCTTTCAGCGTCACTCGTACTCAAACAGAGCACTTCCTGTGGATGCTTCACTGGGCCTGTGGTAAAAACGTCTTGCTTTTTGTGGAAGTGTGTGAGGACGAGTGACAGAGGGGCGTGCGTGCACAGATGCTTTCACGACTCCTTTCTCTGGCCTGTCACCTCTCAGAGATTGATGGTGAGAAATGCCCAACAAGGAGGAAACCTGTCTGATTTTTTTTTTATTTTTTTTATTTTTTTAGGGCCAGGATATAAAGCCTGCACTTCTTCATGTTTGTGAAGAAGTGCATGCGGAAAACCAGTGTTCAAAACAATACTCACATCACTTGGAAGGGGCAGTTAGGTGTGTGGATGAACCTGAGCTCTCGGATGTAGCCCCTTGGGAGGTGGTTGACTGTTGAGCGGCAGTAGCATCTCTCCACCAGGCTGATGGGCTTGGCTGAGAAAGTGAAGGAGTGATAAGATGAAGGTCATAATCGCCCATGGAAACTGGGGTAGTGCTAGATACTGAATTTTTTGTTCAAGACAAGTAAGATTCAACATTATTAAACATTATTACAGCAATCTAATTAGTTGTAATTGAAATGTACCAGATAAATAAATCAACATCATCTTTGACAACTGCAACAAGTTGCAGCATGTAGAGCCACTACAAACCTACAGAAATGTGTCCATGCATGCAAACAGCACACATGCACTCTACATGCAGATTTACAGAATCGTTTTCTTTCCATCTATTTGGTGGGTGGCCAACATTAAATCAAAATTACATATTTACGCTTTATAGATCCCCCCCCCCCCCCCCCCCCCCTCTTTTTTTTTTTTTTTCTTCT